CATATGCAAACGTTCATGTATCATACATCAGATAACATACATTACTACACACATTTTGTGCCTTTTGATGCAGTAAAGTAAAAGTTGGAGGTGTGCTAAGTAAACATTTATTGTTCATCATTGAGGCATGTCTGTCGATTTTCAACGATCATGAAAGCTCGCGAACATCATAATGATAGTCTGTTTTTGTTGCATGGAAAATTTCAAATCAACGACTAACTCGTGTATACGAGACGCGGAAGCGAAGATCGCGTCGCAGCTCGTGACGTCACATATGTCCGTGTATTGGTTGATATATTGAAAAGTAATTGACATCACTAATAATGGCTTATGTAAGCCGAAAGCTTAGATTGGATTTGAACATGTATCAATATGGTGATTTCCTTTCGTCTTTCAATGATAATGTTATTAAACTTATCAGAGAATATAAAAGGAACTTAGTTAAAATAAATAGACAAAAACATGTCTATATTACTTAATGAAACATGCATTAATATATATATATATATATATATATATATATATATATATATATATATATATATTATGAAATGGGTAAAGTCCGACAATTATTTTAACATTTTTTTTATGTTTATATATTCTTTTATAGATACAAATATTTAAGTATCTGCCGGTAAATGTTGTTTAATACTGTTTATTATAAACAGAGTATTTACTTAAATATTTGTATCTATAAAAGAATGTATAAACATAAAATGTCTTTTATATATATATATATATATATATATATATATATATATATATGTATATCGTTAAATATTACGGACAAGGAAAATTTTGTTCATTTTTTATTAACTTTTCCAGTGTTCTTACCTTTTTCCGTTTGGTTGGAGTGAGTAAGTACAAAAATGTCCATATCATCCATTGTCACAAGCGCTTTCAACCACTTCCTTAGCCATTTTCAAGATGGCTTTGTTCTTGTGTTGTTAGTTTTCCTTCATGTTTGACTGTTTAAAATGTATTATGTGTGTTCTTTTGAACAACAGTAGAAGTGTTTATTCCGATCCTTCACATGTTCAGCGCGGATGGAATTCGAATTAGTTACTAAAATTTATTTGTTTATTTTTTAACCTTTTCATGGTGTCCACCCTGTACAAGGCTCGAAAACCACTTGAGGTAGAGGGGTTTCAGAATAAGAGCCACTGCTTATGCATATATGTGTGGAAGATTACGGTTAACCCTAGACTTGAACAAGTTAAGACTAGTGTTGGGGGAAGAAGCCTCTTGGGTATCGGCTCTACAAGACAAATGGTTCGTATGAAGAAACTGCTCGTGTGGAATTTATATCTCGCCAAAGGAATACGAAGGGAATGAAGGTGGTTATTTGTCAGATATACAAAAAAGGATATGTAGTGAAATAAAGAATATAACCTAAAACTGAAACAAACGGAAAAATCTTGTAAGAAAACGTTAACAATTGTCGAAAGGTAAACAGATATCCCATAATGATAAAAAGTAAACTGAAAACATTGGTATGAACAAGAAAAATTGGATTTAAGGATATTATGAATGTTGCAAAATAGATATTTGCGAAAAATTAAAAGCAAGAAAAAAGTGGATTGAGTAACAAGAAAATATTTGAAGCAGATGACCTTGTGAATGTAAACAGAGAGAAAAGGCATAAAGTTTGAAGATAATTGGTCAAAAACAAGAAACCAAATAAACTACTATATTTAAGTAAATGGCACGGTAAAATTTTAATTTTAAGTAATAACCATATTAGGAAATAACCATATTAAGTAATAACAATATTAAGTAATAACCACATTTAAGTAAATAACACGGTAAAGAACTATATTTAAGTAATAACCATATTAAGAAATAATATTAAGTAATAACAATATCAATAATAGCCATATTTAAGTAAATAACACGGTAAATAAGAATATTTAAGTAATAACCACACTAAAGAAATAACCATATTAGGTAATAACCATATTAAGTAATAACCATATTTAAGTAAATAAGACGGTAAATAACTATATTAAGTAAAAACCATATTATTCAATAACCATATTTAAGGAAATAACACGGTTAATAACTATATTTAAGTAATAAAACATATTAAGAAATAACTATATTAAGTAATAAGAATTTTAAGGAATAACCATATTTAAATAAATGACACGGTAAATAAATATAAGTAATAACCATATTAAGTAATAACCATATTAATTAATAATTAATTTAAGGAAATAACACGGTAATAAACTAGCATATTCAAGCAAATATTTTTTAAAAACCTTTTCAGCCCAAGCAAAGGCAGGAGTGCCACTAGAATGCAAGTCAAATATATTTTCTGGCTTTAATTAAGCCGTAGAAAACAAATCAATCAATTATTTAATAGAAAAAATTTAGATGCTAAATGTTGTGGTAGGATCCACCTAATTTGCATCGTGGAGTACCGACCATATAAATATGGTTGGTACCTGGAAGAGAGAGGGGGAATCAAGAGATTCAACCAGAGACTCTGCCCGACTGCGACTCAGTCAGCACATTCTCCAGGAACGGTCTTACCAGGAATATACAAAAGACTATATGAAAATATTGTGTACACTTTCTTGTTTCCAGCCATTTTTCAACAAGCTATGGACGTCATGTTGAATGATTTAGACTTTGCGTGCGCCTACTTAGACGACATCATAGTAAGGAGCGAAACCGTCGACGAACATCGAGAATCACGCCAAACCAGAGAACACACCCAAACATGACACCAGCTGAACTAATGTTCGATAGGAAAGTTAAGTCAGTGTTTGACAAACTTTTGCCAGGAAAAAATAGAGTAAAGAATACTATGTATACAGCGAGAAAAAGATACACCTCCGGAGAGAAGGTATTTTTCAAGTGCTACAAAAACAACGTTGAGTTCTGGGAGCGAGGCATAGTGGACAAGAGAATCGGTGACCCGATTTACATAATTAAAGGGCCGAAGAATACTCATAAAAGGCACCAGAATCAACTTAAAAAATGTTACGTTATAGAGCATGAAGAGAGTATACCGGGTGAGGAGGAAGATCCCATTGAGGTAATGTATGATATGTTTCAAGTAGAACCTCCGCAGAATACTCCTGAACCGAGAAGATCCGGTAGGAAACGAAAGTTCACGGACCCATTGGACGTGAATCCAAAACGGAAAAAATATTAAAATTAAGCGGATGGACATATGCATATGAAGTATGCAAATGGATCTACAAAGAAATAGCCATGATCATCAACCCATATAGGAAGCCAGTTTGAAATCCAAAAGGGATTCAAAAGCTTGGGAGGGGGTGTTGTGGTAGGATCCACCTAATTTGCATAGTGGACTACCGACCATATAAATATGGTTGGTACCGGGAAGAGAGAGGGGGAATCAAGAGATTCAACCAGAGACTCTGCCCGACTGCGACTCAGTCAACACATTCTCCAGGAACGGTCTAACCAGGAATATACAAAAGACTATATGTAAATCTTGTGTACACTTTCTTGTTTCAATACATTTTGTTCTAAGTACATTTTGTGTTGCATTATTATTCCATGCCTTAGTCAAGTTTCAACACTAAAAAATTAGTTCCTCACTATTTAAAAACTTGTTTTTTTTCCTTCTTATTTCATACGGACAAAGTTTTGGTGATATATTCACTGATATTGAAATATGCATTTCTTATAAGAGTCGAAAACCAAAATCGTAATTATGTCGAAGGTAACCTTCGACATCCGAACCCAGGAAGATTTTCCTTGGGAAATATCACGTTCCTTGTATTGCGTGAGATTCGAATCGACATGCTTAATAAATATCTATCTATCTATCTATCTATCTATCTATCTATCTAAACCTCTTTATAATCTATCTATCTATCTATCTATCTATCTATCTATCTATCTATCTATCTATCTATCTATCTATCTATCTTAATCGCTTTATAATCTATCTATCTATCTATCTATCTATCTATCTATCTATCTATCTATCTATTGCTTTCAACATCATCTTCTGTAATGGGTTGAAACAGAATCGACGTAACTAGAGTGCCAGAATGCTTTTTCTCCCACTTTCCTCTTTTGTTAAAAAAGATCGCTCTCCACATTTTCTGCCATGAACTGCACCTTGTGGCAATCAATTTCCAATCTACACCCCATTTCACTTTGTTTACTTCTTTCTCATTTCCTGTCTTGGAAAAAAATCTTCCCCACCATTCACCTCACTTTTAGAACGTCTCAAGTATTCCCCGTAAGTCATTTTATATCTGGTAACAAGAAACATCGACTCCTGGTAAGATTTTAACATCCCGAAGAAGCAGTCGTAATGTAAACTTTCTGAAAACATTAGAAGTTAAAGTATTTGTCTACTTGAGATTACTACGAGAGTTATCTATCCATCAATGTCCCCGTATGTGTCTTGTCTGCATGTGTATATGTCTATTTGTTCTATCAACTCCCAAATATTGCGTGTTTGGTCCAATATACTCTCAAATGTGTAAATATTTATCAACTTCTTCGTCGGAATTTATTTACATCTACCTGTATATATGAATATAAAAGAAGATACGCTATCTATCTATCTATCTATCTATCTATCTATCTATCTATCTATCTATCTATCTATCTATTTTAATCTCTTTATAATCTATCTATCTATCTATCTATCTATCTATCTATCTATCTATCTATCTATTTTAATCCCTTTATAATCTATCTATCTATCTATCTATCTATCTATCTATCTATCTATCTATCTATCTATCTATCTATTTTAATCCCTTTATAATCTATCTATCTATCTATCTATCTATCTATCTGAATCTCTTTATAATCTATCTATCTGTCTATCTATTTTAATCTCTATATAATCTATCTATCTATCTATCTATCTATCTATCTATCTATCTATCTATCTATCTATCTATCTTAATCTCTTTATAATCTATCTATCTATCTATCTATCTATCTATCTATCTATCTATCTATCTATCTTGGTGTTTCTCATTTATCTAAAGAACATGTTACTACATTTCAATCTTTTAACAGTATTAGGTGAAAGGAAAGAAAAAAATCCTGTGAGAAACGAAAGTCAAAAATTCTGACAAGCTCACTGGCCAGCAGCCTAAAACTGCCGACCCACTAAAGGCATAAAGTGAAGAAATCTTCGAACGTCAAACGAAATTGTTGCGGCATAATTTGATGAAGCCGGAAGAGACAACTGGCAGGCAGAGAGCGAACGCTTCGATTCCGCGTGCAACGCCTGCGCCGAGATGAAACTCGTCATGTCCTGCATTATCAAAGCTGGCGGTTAACATTGTTATCTCGTGCCGTTTTGATTCCTTTTGGAGGCGTTCGGCCATCGGAGATGAGATTCACTTTGATCTTTCGGATTATTTTCCAACTTAATTTTCTTCTCTCATCTTTCACCCTGACGTCTTACGATAAAGCCTTTCGCCAGGGATTCTCCATTTAGCTGTCTTTTGTTTCTGTCAGCCGTCGTCATATTTTTCATCAACCACATTTTTTTTTGCGGTTGATAATGTTTTTTCATATATTTTGTATTTTACACTTCGATACGGTTACCTTTTTACTCTTTCTTTTTTTTTTCTTTCTGTCATCATCGTTACCGAGCTTTTCTTCTTTTGCTTAGTCTTTCTTTCTTTCTTTCTTTCTTTCTTTCTTTCTTTCTTTTCGACTGTGTTGACGTAGGCCTTTCTTTTTTCTTTTTGCGTATCTGCATTGACTTTCTTTCTTTCTGTTTATTTGTGGTTTAATTATTTTTTCTTTGTGTACGTGTCTTTCTTTCTTTCTTTCTTTCTTTCTTTCTTTCTTTCTTTCTTTCTTTCTTTCTTTGGCCTGCGTTTATGTTGGTCTTTCTGCATTTTCTTTCTTTCTTTCTTATTTGTGGTTTAATTCTTTTTCTTTGTAGACGTGCCTATCCTGGCTTTCTTTCTTTCTTTCTTTCTTTCTTTCTTTCTTTCTTTCTTTCTTTCTTTCTTTCTTTCTTTCTTTCTTTCTTAACATCCAACCCACAGAATTATTCGTCTGGACACGAGAAAGAATTTAATTCGAGTGTATACTTTAATATATTATTTTAAACTCTATTTTCTTTTGATTTTTTGTTGAAAGATTTGCATATTTACATTTAAGATTTGCATATTTCCACTTACTTATAAATGTTCTGCTGATTTAGTTTTCATAGTCCCCTTTAAAGAATATATTCATTTAGTAAGTAAAACGAACAAACATTCAGAAAATTAAAAGAAATATTGATTAATACTGTGTTTTCAGCATTTATCGATAAAATCATTTTTTTATATAAATTCATGATATCATATTTTAGCAAATATAATATTTCCATGGTTTTCTAAGAAATTATTTCAGTTTTCAAAGAATATGTTTATTATAAAAAAAAGAAATCTGTTTTTTATGCGACGAATTCTTGGAGAAATATTGATGTGCATCGTTTTGTTTTGAGAAACGTTGATTAGTCGAGGAGTGCTTAAAGAGCGGGACAAATGGAAAAGTGAAACTGTTGACTTTGATGAATAAACCGACAATAAAAGCACTAAGATGTTTTGCTGAATTACTTGCAAATCAGGGTTTCGGCGTTGTCTTTCAGCAAACTGATACGTGTTTCTTTCTCAGAAGGAATATCTTTCCTTTTCAAATACAACTTATCGAATACGTCAAATGATGACTGTAGGGGAACACTTCAATAGTTTTTTTCCGGGTTACGACAATCCTTAATAAACAAAAATTCATTTGAATGCCATCAAAACTAAGCGATCTGGGATTGCAAAGGAAATATTTGTCGCAGATTAATTCATTTGAATGCCATCAAAACTGTAAGCAATCTGGGATTGCTAAAGAAATATTAGTCGCAGATTAATTCATTTGAATGCCATCAAAACTGTAAGCAATCTGGGATTGCTAAGGAAATATTAGTCTCAGATTAATTCATTTGAATGCCATCAAAACTGTAAGCGATCTGGGATTGCAAAGGAAATATTTGTCGCAGATTATTTCCACAATGCAAAGAACAAATCACTGTAAGTTCAGTCTCGAATATCGGGGGCCGAAAGAAATCTGAAAACTCGATTCGTAGGTACTATCTTACAAATCGCAATGTAAGTAACTAGTCAGAAAAATAACTCACACTCCAACAAACGCGATAGCCAAAATATCCGACTTCCCCTCGATTCAAGAACACCAACTGCTTTTATCGGCCGAGCATTTTTCCCATTCGTCGACAGCTGGGAGAGGACGCCCAATTTTTATATATCAAAATACTTTTATAGCGACTCCTGCGACGGACTTGTTTTTAATTAAAATATTCCGTCCTCAGCATGACATGCGGAATACGTGCCCCTTTTTTTTTTTTGGTAAGTAATTTTCTTTTTCGCCACATTTTCCGTCGTTGGATACACGTGACGCGCAGTCGCTTGGTTTCACGAGGTAAGTCACCGTTTTCTTCACTACAGGGTAGAAGATCTTTTTGTTTCAGTTGAGATGTCGAACGCTGTCTTGAATGTAGTCATGATTTCCATTTCGATTCTCGTAATAAGTCCATTTCAATTCGCCAGTGAATTCATCACCCAGAATTATCTTTGTATCAAAGAAAAACGGAAAACAAGTTTTTTAAACACTGACGAACCTATTTTTCTTACATTATAAATCCTGTACACATTAAAATGGCATTAATCAACAAATGTTAATAGAATTATCAGGATATACTATATTTCTCTGCTTTATATGTTACATGAGTTTCAGCTTATACTACAGTAGAATCCGTCATATCCGGAATCCCGCATATCCGGACATGATTTTGATGTGTATATTTGAATTATTTGGGTGATATGTAACTGATTTCAAATTTCATTTTTTCAGGAAATTTACTTTGGATAATTACTTATGCTTATTTCCACTAACGGTGTGTATTGATGCAAAAGATGATAGGAATAAGAGGAAAGGATGACGACAAGACACATCTGCAGCAAGATAGCGACGAGATGCATGACTGTGATGAAACTTGGACTGAAATTGAAAAGAAATTGTAAAGGTTGTCAGTTTTATGGAAAGAAAGCCAGCAGTATTTATTGCTTTGCAGAGTTGAATATTGCTTTCCGTCACCAGAAAAAAATGCTTTTAATCATTTCGCCCCAAGCTAGGCAGTAAAACCACTATGTGGATAAAGCGAGTTAGTACGGAAAAATGATTAAGAGAGTGTTGACAGGGAAGCAAGACGGAATAGAGTTCCACAAGCGAGAAGTGGGTGCGAAGAAACTATTAACATTGAACTTACGGTTTCATCTAGCCGTTTCAGCTGTAAAATGATGAGACCTATCAGCCAATCTCGAATTGCGCTTAAATTCATAACGTCTAGGTACCATATAGGTAGCTCGTCCGAACAACTACCATGAAAGCATTTATAGAAAATTCAAAGTTAGCTACATTATGACAGTGAGAAAGCGACTGAAGCTGAGATGCCAAGACAGAACCAGTATCATTGCAAATTCTTCTTTGGATTCCATGAAGAATCTCTAAATGTATAGCAGGAGCACTAGACCAGATAAGGCAGCTATATTCAAAGTATGGACGAATGGCAGACTTATAAATATGTATGGCGAGAAAATCTCTAGCACGACAGAGTGAAACAATTTTCAAGACGTAGCAGAAAATGTGAGACAGAGAAAGCTCAACGAGTCACTCCTCTGGAGGTTAGCATCAGCCATACAGAAGGCAGAAAGGGTCCTCTCAAAGGATCTCTCTGAATGATGATCAGTAAGTATTTTGTTACATTCAAATCTAACGAGGGAAGAAGATATGCCATTTATGTGCTAATGTGAATATTTTGTGTGGTATAGTTACTTATGCTGAATATGAAGGAGCCTTGTCATGTATGAATAATCTCTTTAGTTTAAACCTACCAGATTAAGGTCAATACCAATCAAAATTGTCTTGTTCAAGAACTGGCAATAATTGTTTGCATTTATCGTGAAACTATCATCAACTTAACCAATGATTTTACTGCCAACAACACTAATCCAAAGCATGGCTGCAACTGTTTCCTAACTGTCATTATCTGGCTTTTTCCATGACAGATCCAATAAAGTCAGGTCACCTCTCTATCTAATACAGCTCTATATAGGTCATTAAAAATTTCTGTGGAAAAACGTGTTGTCGCCTATTTTGCTCAAATTAATATTCCTCCAGATAACAATTATTTAATGCGCCCTTTTCACTTTGGATGATGCCTTGTCTTTAACCAATGTTTTCAGTAATCTCTATCTGTTTCACAAAACCTGCTTTTTCCAATATTTTCTTGCTAGTCAATCACCTTTTCTTTTTCATCAACTTTGTATATTTCCTCGTTCTTAATAACACCCTTTTCCTTACTTCATTTGCCAATGCCTTCAATTAAGTTTAGATTGTCCGGCTATATCAGTTTCCACCTTTGTGCTTCATTAATCAATAACTGTATATCATACTTTCTCTTTTAAGATTATACTTTTTATCACATGCCATGGTAATGTTTATATATATATATATATATATATATATATATATATATATATATATATATATATATATATATACCTGAAAAGTAAATACCAAACCAATAACGATAATATTTTCTCTCTTAAAATATATATTAAACGAAACATATTTGAAATCAACGTCGCTGCTCAAATATTATATATATATATATATATATATATACAGTGTAACCGGATATAAGAGAGGTGTCGGGACCGGAGAAGAAGTCTCTTATATCCGGGGTTTCTCTTATATCCGGATTTGGTCTATTTTATATACATTAACACAGGCTCTAATTTGGGACCAGAAAAATCTCTCTTATATTCGGGTTTCTCTTATATCCAGGTCTCTTATATCCGGGTTACACTGTATATATATATATATATATATATATATATATATATATATATATATATATATATATATGTATATATATATATATGTACACTCACACATATATGTTTTAATATATTTATTTTTAAAGATGCAAATATGTAAGTAAATGCTCTGTTTATCATAATTCTAGATTACTAACAGGACTCTTCCTCTGTAGCTAAATGGTATAGCACGTCAGGCTATATGACGGTTCCGTGTAGGATAATGGTTTAATTCTTGTTTTTCCAGACATTAAGGCCGGTAAATGTTATTATACTGTTTATTATGAACAGACCATTTACCTAAATATTTGTACCTGTAAAAATAACGTATAAACAATAAATATATTAAAATGTTTGTCGGACTTAGTCCATTTCATAATATATATATATATATATATATATATATATATATATATATATATATATATATGTGTGTGTGTGTGTGTGTATGTGTGTGTGTATCATGAATCATCCTCGAGTTATATAAGAACATTTCACATCATGCGTTATACATATTTATGAGAAAATTAGATTTTATAAGTTGGGATTCCTATTGTTTATTTATCATAACATGAACAAAATTGGCTGCCTAAATCGAATTTAACTGCGAAACATTGACTTGCATAATAAAATCTGAATCACTTTAAATAATATCTATCTATGGAGGAGTGGTCGAATGTTTAACATCATGGAAAAAGTTATCCGCGGACTAAAGCTTACATCCCAACAGTTATTGGTAATTTGCTCACCTTCTCATGGTCCAGTTAAGAAAGATTATCGCGGAACGAGATGAATAATCCTTTTTAAGACTTCCGAATTAACCTGTCCAGCAAACTTACAGACTTCTGTGAGTCAGATTAAATAATGACATAATTGTAATCAAACAGATAACATTGACAGCAATTTGCTTGAATAATTAAAGCGTAATATTTGATGACGATAAGAAAGAAAAAAAAAAGATTCAAGACAGACCAATAACCATAGATTATATTGTTTGATAAAATATATTTACAGAATGATTCATGTTTTATTGACATAGTTATGCAGGAAAGAAAGGACGTTTAACAATTGAATTTGTTAAATATTCAGACACCATCATCGGTT